CCAAAAAAAAAAAAAAAAAGCTTGGTGGACCTTGGTTTTGGTTTTGAGATCTCTAAATTCCTTCTCTCTTTTTTTGGTACAATACGAGACCAAACACTGAAAACCAAACAAACTACATAGGAATCAACCTTGAATTAGGGGTACTGCTAGCATCAGCAGCAAGAACATCATTAAGGAAGAAAGGTTCCATATCCAAAACATGAAGGCCCAAAAGGAAATCATAGCTCTTGGCAGCTAAGGCATCAGCAGCCTTATTTTGTTCACGTACGGTAAACATGAGAGAGGGAGCAAACCCAAACACCATGGAACTGCAATTTACAGCAATCACCATGAGAGAGAGAGATCTCTAGATTCGATTTGTCTCCTTGCTCTCTTTATGCAGACTCACGTGAACTGATTAATATTCAAGGGAACTAATTAAATTTGAAAACCCCAATTCTCATGAACGCCAAGGAAAAGAAGCGTTTCAGGGATTGAGTTTGTGTAAAAATACCTTTATGCCCACTCATGTGCTATGCACATGTCTATTTTAACATCTATTTGACAAATTGTCCTACATTAGCTAACAAATGTAAACACAGGGACTAAATTAGCCAAATTAAAAACACATGGACTAAATTGGCCGAATGGATAAAACACAGGGACCATTTTGACATTTAAGCCATTATTTTTTTTGGTTTTTTAGTTGCCACCATAGTCCTTTAACTTAGATCCGATTTACATTTTAGTCCTCAAATTCACAAAATAACTAATGTAGTCCTTTAACTCCAATTTCGTTAGCAGTGATGGTTTGTGGTCACATTTGCTACTTTTTCGTCTACCAAATAGATACGGAGGAAATTTTCGTCCGAAAAGAGATACGGAGTAAATTTTCTTTTCTTTAGTTATACAAGTGATAATCTACTTTAAATTAATTTAAATTACATGAAGGGGAATTCAAATTCTAATGCAAGACGAGGAACATATTTACTCTAGCCAACTCGATTAAGTCCATATATGTGTTGTTTGATGCCGTTAAAATAACATGAGAATTGCAAAATGCGGGCGGCAAGATGATCCGAACATCTGTTAACATAGTCCAGCAACAGTTGGCTCCGTGTGTGGAGGACCCAAACTATTAATAAATAAAAAATTCTTTTTTGTTAAATAATTAATTGAATGGATGGCTCTGGACTGGAATTACTAATTTTGTATTTTCATATTTACCCACCAGAAAAAGAAAAAAAAAACAACCAATAGTTAATAGTTATATATTTGGTAACAACTACTAATAATTTATTTCGTTAATTTTGTTTTGTTTTTGGGTGAACTCTCTGTTCTGGTCCGTTGTCATTGATTGAGATTTGAGATCGTTTCCTTGGCAATTGCCATTGAAGAACAGAAACGTCGTTCCTTTGAAATTGTATTTGTTGATTGTTTCTTCCTTTATCTTTCATTGGCATTTGTGATTGTAATTGATCCGATAGAGAAATGAGGGAGATAATAAGCGTACACATAGGACAGGCAGGGATCCAAGTTGGGAATGCCTGCTGGGAGCTCTACTGCCTTGAACATGGAATTCAACCTGATGGCATGATGCCGAGGTATACGTATATATTAATCATTGATTTGGTTTTTTTTTTTTTCGTTTTTTTTATTTATAAAAATTTCAGTTTTTGTAATTGTGGCTTTCAATTGGGGTGCTGTTTATAGAACTTCAATATATTCTTCTGAAAATGGTTCTTTTATCTTTTCTAATTGTAATAGTTTTGGGTTTTTGGATTCAAATTCTCTTAGTGTTTGAGATATTGTTTGTACAATTGGGAATTGGCTTATATTTGGCCAATCAATTGCAACAATCTAGTAGATCACAATTCGATTAACCCGAATTCACCATTGTTTCATTTATTTAGTTGTTTGTTTCCCTTTTTTTTTTTTTCCGTGGAAAAGAAAATAAAGGAAACAAACATGGCTTGAATCGGCAGGTATTCATGAAAATGGAAATGTGAAGAATCTTATAATGTGATCAAGAAGCTTATGCCAATTCATTTTACTTCTTGATCACTATTGTTGTTGAAATTCCAATTTAGAGGAATCTTGAATGAACTTTGGAGTTAATTGAGGAAAAGACTCACTTTGTTAATCTCTACGTTTTGTTAATCTTGAATGGAATCATGAAATTTATATATATATTTTTGGGAAAACAGTTGGAATCTATTAAGATTGAACTAGTAACTGTGTTGTCTTGTTGAGACTTTTGCCACTAAATCTACTCTTTCAATATAAGTGCCAGTTTCACAATTTCTCTTTTTCTTACATAATTGATCAGGCTCTCTTCTGTTGCTAATCTATCATAAGGTAACATCCAAAGATAAAAAATTGAAACACAATCTGGAATCATCTATTTATATCGATACCTTCCTGCCCAATTTTCTAACCATTGATTGGTGACTGCCTGTTTATGGGTTTTCCTGTGACCCAAGGTAGTTTGTAAGTAGTCTGGGTATGCGTGTTATTTTCCATTCTTCCACTGATTTGTATGAGCTTGTTCACTCAAGATATCTTTCTTTAGTGGTTTCGTGTGTTATATATTCATAACTGGTATTTGGTGTGGTCTTGAGTAGTAATATTGTTCTGATCTCTCGAACAATGCATTTAATTTTGTTTTGTTTTATCGTTTTTTCTTTGATTTGTGATCTAGTTCATTGAGTAATTATCATAAAGTCATCTTTCAATTCCATTTTTGTAGGTATACTTTAATATTTATGGATTTTAATGTTAAAATTTATTTTCGTGATTGAGAAAAAACTCACTATGAGATTTATTGAATGGATCGTTTCTGGTGTTAAGAAGGTTTATATGTGAATGCAGTGACACCTCTGTTGGTGCGGCACATGATGCTTTTAACACCTTCTTCAGCGAAACCGGTTCTGGCCATCATGTGCCCAGAGCTATATTTGTTGATTTGGAACCCACGGTTATTGATGAAGTCAGAACTGGGACTTACAGACAACTGTTTCATCCTGAACAACTTATTTCTGGCAAAGAAGATGCTGCTAACAATTTTGCCAGAGGACACTACACAGGTATATGAATTTCTATTGCACTGTCAAACTGGCATTTCCTTCTATTATGTTAGTTATAACTGGTTTTCTCTGTTGAATGTTACAGTGGGGAGGGAAATTGTGGACCTATGCCTTGACAGGGTGAGAAAATTAGCTGATAATTGCACTGGTTTGCAAGGGTTTTTGGTCTTTAACGCTGTTGGTGGTGGCACTGGTTCTGGTTTGGGGTCACTACTTCTGGAACGATTGTCTGTCGATTATGGGAAGAAGTCAAAACTTGGTTTCAGCATTTATCCTTCTCCTCAGGTAGATACTCGAAAAACTTACAGGTTATTATTTGGATGGAATCATGGAACTTTTACTGCTAAAACTAGTATTTATGAACACAACGCAACTTGTCTTTTTCTTATAAATTTTGTAAGCAATATCAGTTTCAATTTTTTATTGCAACGAATTAATTCTGCTCGCATGGGAATAAATCTTTACAAAAAGATAGGTCTTAAATTTTGTATGCAATATCAGTTTCAATGTTTATTATACTGCAGGTTTATTCTCATCTGTAGAGACAATATAAATGGTTGGTAGAAACTTAGGAAAGATGACTTCTTTGAGAATGACAATTCTTATAAGCTTTTCATTCGGTTAATTTTCACATCTTCTTACTTTTTTCATCTGGTTCCTCTTAATGGGTTTTCAGTTCTTAACATTACACTATGCATACCAAATCTGAAACTAGAGAGTTTATACTTCACCGTTATTCTCATCTGGAGAGACAACTTAAGTTGTGGGCAGAAACATAGGAAAGATTACTTCTTAATATTGTTGAACTATGCATGTGTGGCTTTCTCCAGCAACTAATCTCAAAATGTCCAGGTCTCCACTGCTGTTGTAGAACCTTACAATAGCGTGCTCTCCACGCATTCTCTCCTTGAACATACAGACGTGGCTGTGCTTCTAGACAATGAAGCCATTTATGATATCTGTAGGAGATCTTTAGACATTGAAAGGCCAACATACACCAACTTGAATAGATTAATATCCCAAACAATCTCTTCTTTGACCACTTCTTTGAGGTTTGATGGTGCCATTAATGTGGACATTACAGAGTTTCAAACTAACCTTGTCCCATATCCTCGTATCCACTTTATGCTCTCATCTTATGCCCCTGTAATCTCCGCCGCCAAGGCTTACCATGAGCAACTATCAGTTCCTGAGATCACAAGTGCTGTATTTGAGCCCTCAAGTATGATGGCCAAGTGTGATCCGAGGCATGGGAAGTACATGGCATGCTGCTTGATGTACCGTGGTGACGTCGTACCAAAGGATGTAAATGCAGCTGTAGCTACCATTAAGACAAAGCGAACAGTTCAATTTGTTGATTGGTGAGTAGAGCTTCTGTACATCTAGTTTCTTTAAAATATAAGCCTAAATAATACTTGCACCAAAATTGACGAATTGGGACTTGCTTTATTATTGGTTTCATAATTTCAGTTCTTGTAGTTCTGACACAGGCTGTTTTAAAAATTAAGCTTGCATGATAAGCATATATTTAATGAATGAGTTCTCCATGTTGATACTTTCAGGTGCCCAACTGGTTTCAAATGCGGTATTAACTACGAGCCCCCTTCAGTGGTGCCAGGTGGTGATCTTGCCAAGGTGCAACGAGCAGTTTGCATGATAAGCAACAACACTGCTGTCGCTGAGGTGTTCTCCCGAATTGACCATAAATTCGACCTTATGTATTCCAAGCGGGCGTTTGTGCATTGGTATGTAGGTGAAGGGATGGAGGAAGGTGAATTCTCGGAAGCCCGTGAGGATCTTGCTGCTCTTGAAAAAGACTATGAGGAAGTTGGAGCAGAAGGTGCTGATGACGAGGGTGAAGGGGAAGATTACTAAAACTTAATACTTTGGGATTCAGAAGCTCTCTCTCTTCCTTATTTTGTTTCTCTAGCTGCATGTTTTTATGTTCTTCATCTTTTGAATGACATGTACGTTGTGTTATGGAAGAATGCATGATAAAGAATGCATGATAAGCAAAAGACTCGAAACAAGTTTTACCTTTATTGACATCCCTTATCCCTACTCCATCCACCATGCCATTGCATAAGGGGAAAGTTTCTACACCGCCTGGGACCAACCAATTATGTTCTCTAGCTTCTGGTAGTCCATTGTTGTATGCTCATGAAAAACTACAACATAGCGGATCAATCACAAATTTAATTTATGGTGTGACTCAATGCGCTCGGGACATCTCCGAAGAAACTAGCAAGAAGTGTCTTGGTGCAATGAGTGAACTTAGATCAAAGTTGTGGAAGGTGAGAGTTTATGAGTTTATTTATAGTGGGGTTTTTTTTTTTTTTTTTTTTTTTCTTTTGTGCCAAAAATCTGGAGATTTTATTCAAAGACGTAAATCAAGGTTTGCATCCTCAGCTAGTAGATAAACATCTAATGTGGCCAAATCACATCCCACACATGGGACCCTCCATAACGAGTAACAAAGCCAGCAACCTCATGTGCTGCATTATTCCCTCTATGAGATGTAAACGAAAAGTTCACCATCTCCAGTTGTTGAGCAAGCTTTCGAATGTCAAGGACAATGCCCTCCAAGGTGACATCAAGTGCCGTATCCCCGTTGATCATGCGAATAAGTCCCTCAGAGTCCGATTCCAGTTCCACTTTCCTGTACTATCTATCGACCATGGAATTCCAGCAACCATATATGGTGAGAGTTAAACCATATATTATAGAACGACGATTTAGCTGCATTTATCCAACCAAGAAGTTTAGGAGTTCTCAAATATTCAAAAGAAGTAACATCAGTAATGCTCTCTAATTGCATAATTACTTCACGTTTGCAAATTAAAGATGCACAATTATTAGTTGCCCAGGAATCTAGAGACCTAAATTAAACAAATTATTGGTTTATGCACGATGCTCTCTTTTTTTGGTCGAAAATGATATTTCATTAGCGGAGAACAAACCCCCGGAAACAAGAACAAAGCACAGGGAAAGTCCCAACCAGTAGGCAAGACAATTAGAAACAACCAACTACATAAACAAAGCAAGTTGCAAAGAAGCAAATAAACAAAGACGCCACCCACACTAAGGCTACAACGTCCAACCTTGCAAATTGCAAGCAAGCAACTAAGAAGGGGGGTTAAGGGAGACCATCATTGTTGAGAACATGCACTAGCAAAGATGGTGGTCTGTTGACCCAAGTCACAGGGTTCATCCTCACACTTGCCAGAGTCGTAGTGTGATCTGCTACAACATTAGCTATTCTTGGACACCAAGCCCAGCTAGTATCAACAAAATTTGGATGGCCAAGCTGCTCCTTAATCTTACAGAGGAAAGGATACAACTCCCATCGTCCTCTCAAAATGTTTCCTTGCACTCCACGAATCACTTCTCTACAATCCATCTCAAACTGAACCTGACGAAATTGATGCTCAATAGCAAAGAAACAAGCTTCTAAAGCACCCAACGCTTCCGTTTCCAACGTCGAATTTGCCAAACAGGGACACGCCTTGGCTGCAATAAAAGATCCAAGATGATTTCTAGCAATTAAACCAATGCCACCTCGTTGAGAATCTGCATATCAGGCTGCATCAATGTTTATTTTAATTTTCGGGGCAAAAAGGGGGCACCAAGTTTGAATTTTCTGCTCTGGAGGGGTGAAAGGCTCTCTAGTTGCCACCATGTGAGCTTTTGCTCTCGAAAAATCAGAGATAGCAGAAGAGGATGCAATCATAGTCGCCCATGGGGATGGACTACAGCCTTCCATGACCGCCTTACAGCGCAACTTCCATATATTCCAGTAGGTGAAGGCCAAAGATGATCCTCTCTATTCTTGCTTATTTTTCATTTGGAAAAGATTAACGTCCAACAACCAACAATTTCTTCACCATCACTACATAGAGCTAGTGCTCAATTACCTACTAATGATCTGTCGCACACTTTTGTATAGGTAAAATATGTGTATTAATTTTTGCTATATAATTTTTTTTTTTTTCATTTTGTATTGTTTTGTTTCTACGTTGGGCCCTCGTGGATGATAAATTGTAACAGCACTTGAAGTTCAAGTGGTCGATTATAAAGAAATTGTCCAATTCTGTTGAGAGATTTGACGGACACCTTGTATGGTCCGATGCATATTTTATTTCAACAATCCGAGCCATTTATTTTTTAAGTCTTTATTCAAACACCATCCTTGCCAAAAAATAGTAAAATCAGAAACCATTAAGACATATGGTTGTGATCAACAAAATCAACAAGAAAAACAGGGTATAGCCTCGGCTATACTATTTGTACCAAAGAATTAAAAAACACGTATAGCCGAGCGGCTATACTATTTATAAAAAGAGAAAAGGACCCCAGCGGCTGTCAAAATAAGCACAGCTTCAAGGAAGGTCCTGTTTTTTTAATATAAATAGTAAAGACGGCTAGACCTTTTTAAAAAAAAATTTAAAACGTGTATAGTCGAGCGGCTAAACTATATTGTGTGTGAAAACTAAAGCCCCAGAGGTTGTCAAAATCCGTACAGCCGCACGGCTATACTATTTTTTTTTTAAACTTAAAAAACCAAGTACAGCCGACTGGCTATACTATTTATATTTAAAATGCGATTAGGTGCCACGTTACGTATAGCCACTCGGCTATACTATTTATATTAAAAAAAAAGGACCTGTCTTAAGATTAGGGGCCCACGTGTCCAGGTACGTCTAGCCGTTCGTCTATACTATTTATAAATTTTTTTTTTTACAAAAACCGGGTATAGCCGAACGGCTAGACATTATTATTATTATTTTAAAGAGAGGACCCCATTGGTTTGGGGCCCATGTGTCAAAATAAGTATCGCCACAAGGCTAGACTATTTAATAAAAAAGAAAAAGAAGAAAAAAGGACCTTCTAGTTGCATTAGTTTATACTTTATAGATATTAATTTGCTATTTCAACTCTACAAACTAGTAAAACTTAGTTGCATAATAAATTATTTAGTAATCATTAACAATTTTGGTTACAACTGAAAAGTTCGGTCACTATATAATATTTTAATATAATATATTTTAATTTTTTAATATATATTTTTTATATTCAACAATATGTGAAAATTATGTGTATAATACATGAATTTTGTGTGTATTATTGAAAATTTTGTATAAAATACTTGTACTAAACATGAAAGTGGTAAATTCTTTATACGGTTAATAACTCTGGAAAAGTAAAAAAATGAAAAGGGGACAATTAGAGAATTTGAAGATGCTATAAGCACGTTTTACAACCAACATGGAATTGAGATCATAAAATTAAAATTCTTTCCATTCTCTTTGAAAGAAAAAGCAAAAAGTTGGTTATATTCGTTGAGGGCTGGGTCTATAACTTCTTCGAATGATATGACTCATGCATTTTTTCAGAAATATTTTCCAAATCATAAGACAATTGCTTTGATGAAAAGAATCTCAAATTTTGCTAAAAAAGAAAGTGAAACATTGTATCAAACATGGGAACGATTTAAAGAACTTTTGAGTCTTTGTCCACATCATGGTTTTGAGAATTGGCAACTTGCTAGTTACTTTTATGATGGACTTCTTCCTCGAGATAAGCAATTTGTTGAGTCTATGTGTAATGGTGAATTTATGCAAAAAGATCCTGATGAGGCCTTAAATTTTCTTGATGAAATTGCTGAAAAATCTAATCGGTGGACCACTCCTAGTCCATTTGAAAGTTCTGATCGCTCTAAGTCTGCTTCCTCTTCTGTTAGTAAAGGAATATCTCAATTAAAAGAGGAAGACGATTTGAAATTAAAATATGAGAATTCGGCCAAAGAGGTAGCTGGTTTAAATTTCGAAAAATCTAATGCACCTCAACATGTTTATTCCACCGATATTAATCAAATTTGTGATGTTTGTTATGAGATTGGTCACTGCACTAAAAATTGTCATCTATTATAGGAGATGAAAGGAGCTTATGAAGAACGATGTGCAGTCATAGGAAATTATCAAAAGGTATATTCTCCTTTTTCTGAGACCTACAATCCAGCAACAAGAAATCATCCTAATTTCCGTTGGAGGAATAATGAGTCTCACCCTCAGGTAAGTTTCCCTAACCAACAATCTTCAGCTCCAAATTCATTTAATCCTAAACCATCATTGGGAGATACTCTTCAAGCTTTCATACAGGAGAACCAAAAGCAAAGTCAAAGGTATGATTCAATGTTTAATAAACTGTTTGAGGAAAATAAAGAAATTAAGAGTCATATTTCCAAATGAACTAATTCTTTGGCTATTAATGAAAAAGGGAATTTCCTTTCCAACACTGAAGCAAATCCTAAAGGTGTTAATTCATGTGAAATTGGATACGAACATGCAAAGTCTATTATTTCTCTTAGAAATGGAAAGAAAATTAATACTACAACTCCATCTAAAGAGGTTGAAAAATCTAAGAGTAATAACGAATTTGCCTGCACCTTTTCCCAAAGCTTTGCTTCCCCAAAGAAAAATTGGTCAAAACTTTGAAATTTTGGATCTTTTTAAACATGTTAAAATTAATATTCCATTGTTAGATGCAATTAAACAGGTTCTTGCTTATGCTAAATTTTTGAAAGATATGTGCACGTATAAGAGAAAGCATAATGTCAAGAAAACTGCATTTTTAGTTGCTCATGTCAGTTCGGTGTTGCAAAACAAAATGCCTCCAAAATATATAAGGACCCAGGGAGTCCTACTCTTTCATGTGTAATTGGAGAACATTTTATTGATCGTGCTCTACTTGATTTAGGTGCCAATGTCAATTTATTGCCTTATTCAGTTTACTTGCAGCTAGGTCTTGGAGAGCTTAAGTCTACAATGGTGAAATTGCAACTGGCCGATCGTTCCATCAAGACACCCCGAGGGATTATTGAGGATGTGTTGGTCCAAGTGGACAAATTTTATTATCCCGTTGATTTTATTGTTTTGAACACTGAACCTGTTTTAAATTATGATAACCAAATTCCTGTGATTTTAGGTCGACCTTTCTTGGCTACATGTGATGCTAACATTAGTTGCAGGGGTGGGGTGATGAAACTTAATTTTGGGAATATGACCATGGAAGTTAATATATTTAATGTGTTTAGGCAGCCATATGAAGATGAGGAATCTGAAGTCGTGAATTTGATTTCACCTCTTGCCCATGATCAATTTGTGAAAAACAGCATGCTTGATTCTTTGGAGAATTTTGCAGTGAATTCTAATATTGATGAAGATGAATTAAACCCTGAAGTTGCTGAAATTCTTTCATGTTTTGACTCTTTGCAGGTGCAAAACGTTAAACAATGGCCACCCACATTTGAAACGTTGCCACCTGAAGTCCCACCAAAGCCATGTAATGTGGAGGTGCCTAAATTAGAGTTAAAACCTCTACCAGCAGGTCTAAAGCATGCATTCTTAGGACCTAATGATACTTTTCCAGTGGTAATATCTTTTGAATTAAACTCTTTACAGGAAGGTAAGCTACTTAATGTTTTAAATGCTCATAAATCTGCCATTGGTCATCAAAGTAAGTGTTAGAGGTGATGTAATGAGAACCAGATATACGCTTTGTTAGAAGATAAAAATCTTCCAAAAACGTATGCAAACTTCGCAATTTACTCCAATCAACTTCATTTATGGGGCCCCCCTCATCACAGTCACTTCCACCCTTTTTTTTCTTCAAACCCAGCTCACTTCCATCTTTATTTTTTTTTAAGTTCACATTCACTTCTATAGAATGGATCATGCTCCAAAAGCCTATCAAATACTTTCTTAAACTCCATTGCTGCATTTATCATCAAATATGTTGAATTCCATCTTGTTTTAACATCTAAACACACAACCTTCTTGCAAGTTACACTCTCCTCCAAAGCACATTTTTTAAACATTTGCAAACGTGATGAACTACTCCTCACATACTTAACACACTTCGACGAAGATGCTTGATGGGTGTCTTCACCTCTTCAATTCCATCCCTGACAACCAAATTGATGACATGTGCAAAACACCTTACATGAAAGAACTCTCCACCTAATAACATCATATTTCTCTTGTTAAATCTTTTCTTTAAATCCATCACACATGTATCATTATTCTTCGCATTATCAAGGGTGATTGTCATAACCTTTTCTATTCCCCACTCTAAGAGACAATTTTCTATAGCCTTTGCAATAACCTCTCCTTTGTGTGGATGTGGAAGAACTCGAAAATTTATGATTTTCTTTCTAAGGACCCAATCTTTGTCCACAAAGTGAGCTGTCAAGGCCATATATGCTTTTGAATTTGGAGAGGTGAGTGTTGGTTTTTGTTCAAATAAATACTATTACTGTAACATTACCCCTCTTTAAATAACATCATAGAACTTCCCATCACACATGAATGTATGATACTTCTAGTTAATAATTACACCAAGAGATCTATATGCTTTGAGATTCATCATTTTAGGTCATGACTTGCAGCTAATTTCTTCATTCCTGACTTCTGTTCCTTTCATTCCATATATATTTTTCATATCATGTAGCAGATACAACTTGTATCACTCTTGTGCAATCAAAGGTTTAAGGAGAGGCATTTTCTGACTAGAACTAGCACTCTAATGTTCCTTCCATTTTCTGCAGGTTGGCATATTCGTGATTTTAGCAATGGTGTTGCGAAACATGATGTATTGAGTACCTTACTTCCAATGATGAGTTGAATTTATTATGGATCTATGTTAAATGTTGTAGTTTTCATTTTCTGTTTTTATTGTAGACTAGTTTAAATTTGAACATTATGTCATTTGAACGTAAACATTGGAATTCTTCTGGAATTTTTTTTCCTTTTTGGTTGGCTTCATCATGATTCACAAGAAAATTTCAAAAATAGATTTCCAAACCAAGAACCATATATGGTGAGAGTAAAACCATATATTATAGAACGACGATTTAGCTGCATTTATCCAACCAAGAAGTTTAGGAGTTCTCAAATATTCAAAGAAGTAACATCAATAATGCTCTTTAATTGCATAATTACTTCATGTTTACAAATTAAAGATGCACAATTATTGGTTGGCCAGGAATCTCGAGGCCTAAATTAAACAAATTATTGGTTTATGCACGATGCTCTCTTTTTTTCGGTCGAAAATGATATTTCATTAGCGGAGAACAAACCCCCGGAAACAAGAACAAAGCATAGGGAAAGTCCCAACCAGTAGGCAGGACAATTAGAAACAACCAACTACATAAACAAAGCAAGTTGCAAAGAAGCAAATAAACAAAGACGCCACCCACACTAAGGCTGCGTTTGGTTCATGGGAAAGGAATCTTGGGCATGGGAAATCAATTCATTTCCCATGTTTGGTAAGTCAGGCATGGGAAAGCGATTCCTAGCACATGGGAAAGTAGGAGGGAAAGTGAATCCTTCATTCCTCCTTGGGTTTCACTTTCCCTTCCCATGGGAAAGTAAAACTAGCATTAAATACAATTTTTTTTGACTAATTTGTCCTTACTAACAATTCATAATTACAATTTTTATCCAACAATTATTGGTATTCTTTTTTTTATTTTAATAGGGGTACAATTGGGAAACTAAACAAAATTTGTTTTCCATTCCTACTCAAAACAAACATGGGAAAGGAAATACAGTGATATTTCCGGATCACTTTCCCGGCATTACCAAACATGGGAAAGGAATCAACATTTCCCATCCCTTGGGAAATGACATGGGAAATGATTTCCCATCAAATTCATTCCGTGAACCAAACGGGGCCTTAGAGATTTACCATGGCATTTATCTTCCTCTGCTGAGGACAAGACTGCACATTTAAACATCCTCACACTTGCCAGAGTCGTAGTGTGACCTGCTACAACATTAGCTCGAAATTTTTATCCGAACATGCTGAAATTATTATCCGAAAATTCTGAAAATATTAACTTCCGAAAATTCCGCATCGAAATAGAGTTAGTACATTCCGAAATTTCATAAACGGAATTGGAAAAGTTTCGGAACGGAATTCGGAACAGTGGTTTCCGATCTATTCCGGCCGAAAAACACCCCTACCACCGGCCATCTTTGCTTCCTCTAGGTCTGGGATCTTCTTCTTCTTCTTGGGCCGCTTGGAGTCATTCTTTGCTCCACCTGCCTTCTTTGCTTCCGATCTGGGCTTCTTGGTCTTGGGCAACTCTGGAATTGGAGGCGGTTCCTCAAACTCAAATTCGGGTTCGTTCTCCTCCTCTTCGTCTCCTTCGGACCAAGCTTCCACTTCAGAAGAAGAATTAGCGATTCCGAATCATAGGGAAGATGTAAATGCGATTCTCATCTGGAGAGACAACTTAAGTTGTGGGCAGAAACATAGGAAAGATTACTTCTTAATACTGTTCAACTATGCATGTGTGGCTTTCTCCAACAACTAATCTCAAAATGTCCAGGTCTCCACTGCTGTTGTAGAACCTTACAATAGCGTGCTCTCCACGCATTCTCTCCTTGAACATACAGACGTGGATGTGCCTCTGGAAAATGAAGCCATTTATGATATTTGTAGGAGATCTTTAGACATTGAAAGGCCAACATACACCAACTTGAATAGATTAATATCCCAAAAAATCTCTTCTTTGACCACTTCTTTGAGGTTTGATGGTGCCATTAATGTGGACATTACGGAGTTTCAAACTAACCTTCTCCCATATCCTCGTATCCACTTTATGCTCTCATCTCATGCCCCTGTAATCTCCGCCGCCAAGGCTTACCATGAGCAACTATCAGTTCCTAAGATCACAAGTGCTGTATTTGAGCCCTCAAGTATGATGGCCAAGTGTGATCCGAGGCATGGGAAGTACATGGCATGCTGCTTGATGTACCGTGGTGACGTCATACCAAAGGATGTAAATGCAGCTGTAGCTACCATTAAGACAAAGCGAACAGTTCAATTTGTTGACTGGTGAGTAGAGCTTCTGTACATTTAGTTTCTTTAAAATATAAGCCTAAATAATACTTGCACCAAAATTGATGAATTGGGACTTGCTAAAGAATGCATGATAAGCAAAAGACTCGAAACAAGTTTTACCTTTATTGACATCCCTTATCCCTACTCCATCCACCATGCCCTTGCATAAGGGGAAGGTTTCTACACCGCCTGGGACCAACCAATTATGTTCTCTAGCTTCTGGTAGTCCATTGTTGTATGCTCATGGAAAACTACAACATAGCGAATCAATCACAAATTTAATTTACGGTGTGACTCAATGCGCTTGGGACATCTCCGAAGAAACTTGCAAGAAGTGCCTTGGTGCAATGAGTGAACTTAGATCAAAGTTGTGGAAGGTGAGAGTTTACATTTTTTTTTTCTTTCATGTGCAATGCAAGTGTTGAGCGTTTTCATGTGTGGGTGCAAATAACACCTTTAGCTAGTGTTTAAAAAAAAAAAAAAAAAGTAAACCCAATTACAATGCCTTCCCCCTCCTACTTTTGCGACGACACCCTTTGCACTAGGGGTGCAAGTTTGATTGGAAAATCTGATTCCGACCGATTCTGGTCCGAAGATTTCCAAAAAAATCCGAATTCCGTAAATGCCGAAATCCGAAATTTCTGAAAAACATCGGAATAGAGTTAGTACATTCCGAAATTTCGGAATCAGAATCAAAACTAAAAGGTAATTTCGAAAAGTTTCGGAACGGAATTCGGAACAGTGGTTTCCGATTCGTTCCGGCCGAAAAACACCCCTACCACCGGCCTTCTTCGCTTCCTCTGGGTCTGGGATCTTCTTCTTCTTCTTGTGACTCTTGGAGTCACTCTTTGCTCCACCTGCCTTCTTTGCTTCCAATCTGGGCTTCTTGGTCTTGGGCGACTCTGGAATTGGAGGCGGTTCCTCAAACTCAGATTCAGGTTCGTTCTCCTCCTCTTCGTCTCCTTCGAACCAAGCTTCCACTTCAGAAGAAGAATCGAGCGATTCTGAATCAATGAGCCACGACCAAATACGATTGCCTGCCATTGGAGAGAATAAAAAGAAAACGGGTTTAGGGTTTTTTTTTCTGCTTTCTCGTGAGTCTGTCCCCTACCTTTTTCTTGTTTATGTTCCCTTTCGACCAAAATAAAAGCAAACGATAGAAAATAATGAAAATTCAAAAATCCAAAATATACGCATACATAGTTTTTGTAGCATTGGATTTCTAATAAAAATAATATATTGGTTGATAAAAATACTAACAAAATTAATGCTTTTCATCATATTAAAATAATTTTCATATACGCAACTTAGTTTGTTTATTTTTGTTTTCCCTGGTTTGTATCATTTTTACATTTTTTTTTCCTTTCATGTGCAATGCAAGTGTTGAGCGTTTTCATGTGTCGGTGCAAATAGCACCTTTAGCTAGTGTTTAAAAAAAAAAAAAAGAGTAAACCCAATTACAACGCCTTCCCCCTCCTACTTTTCCGACGACACCCTCTGCACTAGGGGTGCAAGTTGGATTGGAAAATCCGATTCCGACCAATTCCGGTTCGAAGATTTCCAAAAAAATCCGACTCCGACAAATCCGACTTCCGTAAACGCCGAAATCTGAAATTTCCGAAAAACATCGGAATAGAGTTAGTACATTCCGAAATTTCGGAATCGGAATTAGAACTAAAAGGTAATTCCGAAATGTTTCGGAACGGAATTCGAAACAGTGGTTTCCGATCCGTTCCGGCCGAAAAACACCCCTTCTCTGCACACACCCTACTCTACACACACCCTACTCTATATTCATCTTTATCACTTAGCATGATAGGACCCGACCCAAATTCCACTTTGGAATCTGAGCCGAACCTTATGCGTGTCCGACACCTAGCAGGTGCAGAACACACTTGACCAAATTGCCCTTCTAACAAAATCCAAATTTTCTTTACGGTTTGACTTCTGCTAAAAATTTAGCAGTCTCCCTTATAAGTTGCTTATTTCCCAAAATTTACACCTGCACGAAAAGCAATTTATAACCCAACCATTCAGAATTCATCAAGTTTGAATTCAAGCATTCCAACAAATAAAACTTTATGGCCTCAGGCCTTACAGCAATCCTAGGGCAATTTCAGGGCAATACTAATCTATTTAGAACACAATGGTAGAAAGAATGCAGCAGAATATCCTACAAGGTGGAAAAGGATGATAAGTGATGATGATCACCCGGTTGTGGTGCTCTGTTCACGTCTACTGCCTGGAGGCGCAAAACATTTAAAAGTGTGAGTGGACAAAATAAAGTTTTGGAAAATAGAATATTAACATACTAACCCCATTGTTAAAACCATTTGGAAATTCGATTATATTCATTTCCTATATTTGTACAAGAATTGAAGACATGCATATCTATAAATATCTATATATATACAAATCATGCCTTCAATCAAATCATCAAATCAATTTTAAGCATTGAAAAGAAATAATTTCCTTCCACCTAGGTGTACCCATGATAATTCCGTCAATCCCGTGATTTTCTTTTTAGTTCCCACATGATACCGTCAATTCTTTGTGTCACGTGGTGTGACACATCCTCGCAGGCCTCGGTAACACAAAGTCGACCCGAGCCGAATTCCTCGCAAGACTCAAGAGCCACTTGGTCAACCTTGATGAGCACATAAACTATCACATTTATTATCCCTAAATATATTTGTTAGTAATTGATTTTCTTACAATTTTAGTTAATTAGGTTTGTTTTTCACTTTTGCACTTGCTTACATACTCATTACATAATTGATGATGATTTCATTATTTTATCTTAAGGTTGAGGAATTAACAAACATGACTTGGTGGCATTAAACAATTTGTAGTTGGGAATGACCAAATGAATGATGAAGATTTAGTGCCACACCAAGGCATAAAAGAAAGGAAAAGAAGCAATGGATGGAGCAACCAAGAAGAAAAGAATTGAAAAGAATGCATGAAGTGCCACACCCATGCCAAAAAAAGAAACAATGAAGAGATGGGTTACGGTTGTGCATTGAATAAGATGAAGAATTTGGAGAATGGAGTCATCAACACTATGGAATAAGTAATGGAAGCAAATTGGCAATTGGTTTGATGCAAGTGGAATACATATTAAATTCATGAATGGAGGGATTTAATGAATTTAGAATTGCTCCCATTTTCCTATAAATAGGAGGAGCTATGGCATTGTAAAATTTTAATTAATTGATGAATGTTTGATAATCTATTTCATGGGTTCAATCATGTTTTTCCCATTGTGTAGTAAAAACTTTCATGCTTTTAAAAGAGAAGAGAATTACCAAAGATTAATAGAATTTTGATGAAGATTATTTTTTGATAGTTTGTTGCCAATGGTACAAGTTATGCTTAGAATACTTCTAAAGGAAATTAAAAAGGGCTTTAATTATTTTGAACAACTACAAAGGAAAATATTTTGTGGATCAAATTATTAAGAGTTGCATGCTTATGTTAAAAGTGGAAACCCAATGCCTTAGTGTTTTAATCAATTAAATTTTCTCTAAATCAAATCTTGCATAAATCAACCTCTCAATCATACTTGTTCTTTTTCATCTCTGTTATTTTCTTTACACTGCTCTCTGTGGATACGACACTCGGACTTCCGAGCTACACTGCTATACGACACCTCCCTTGGGTTTTGCAAAGTGGTGCGAACAAACCTAAGCCGCATCCTCGCTCCTCACGGTCCGGATATCCCTAAGAATCATGGGGCAAATGTCAAACGCGCGCTGACTCAACCGAAGGCAACTAGGATGTCCGTGGACATTATTATAACCGAAGGCAACAAATTATCCGAAGGCAACATTTTGGGTACCTATGATGGTTTAAAAACTTTTTCCTGAAAAATTATCATACTATTTCTCATTAAATCCTTTAATCATGTTATCACTTCCTTTCCTACTTTCCAAGCCATTCACATTTTAAACATAAACATAATTTAATAAAAATATTTGAATTCAAATATTTATGCTTGGAAAGTAATGGTCATAAATAATTCATTCAAGATCGATTAATGAAACTTTAATTACATAAAATCCATTTATAAAACAAAAGTCCACTTACTGAGCGTCTGAGCTAGTTTGACCCTTTGAGGGTCCTTCCTGCGGGTTCAAAGAAGCATGAGTACCTATTTAAGCAATTAAAAATATTTAATTAATAAAATTTCACAACCATGGATATTTAATCAAAACTGTAATAACCCAAACCTTAATTAATATTTAACTATTAATTTAATAGAGAGAAAGACAATTTTGCCCTAGGATATTTTATTAGGAAAAAAGTTGACTTTTGGATTGGGAAAGAATTTGAAAATTCCACTTATACCGTTGCGTAGAGTGCGACGAAACGAGTTCATAGACACATAGTGAGCACGAATCAGGGTTATAACGGAGAAAATACGTTCAAAATACGCAAAAGGGCAAAATCGTAATTTTCAAAAATCAGATTTTAAAATCTGATTCTTCTTCTCTCTCTCTCTCCCTGCGATAGTTTGTTTGCCGGAATTTCAAGCGGCAAGAACTCGGCCGTCTAACCTCCATTTCCGGCGCCGTTTTTTGCAAAACCTTCCTCTCTCATTGCTCAATCCAGCCCACCCCTTTATTCCAATCAAAACTGCATGCGTCATTAGCGACGTTTACAGCCACCTCGAGCTGCGCCGTTGCTTGGAACAGGTAACCCTCCTCCCCTTCTAGCAATTTCCTAGGTTTTACGACGACTGTGGTGGCGGTAGCCGCCGGATCGAAGCCGTGAAGTTATGAGTAAAATCGCGAGTTTCTGATGCCGATTTCGGCCACTTCCACTCATTTTTCGGGGTAGGTTCAAGAACAAAAGTGGTTCAAAATAGGGTGTTACACCTAGGATAAGAGTTTGGGCTGGCGGTTTGGAGAAATTCCAGCCGCCGAAATTTACTATGCACACTTGTTCCAAGAATGATCCTCGTGTGCTGGGGACCACTTTCAGTCCTAGAATGAT